CTGCACATTTAGAGGCTGCCTGTGCTCTGCTCCAATCCCTGCTCCCTGCTTGTTGCGTGGAGGCGTGGTGTCACCGCTGCCGCAAGATCTTTGCAGCAGAGAGCCAGTTTTAACCGCCATAAACTGAGGTTTGTCAGTTTCATTACCTCAGGAACGCTACAGGAGGAAAGGAGATCCATGAGGTTCACAGCCCTGTAAGGTGGCCTTCCGATCCCCACATCCTGCACCTGCAGCCCTGAGACCAGGGAGACGAGTTTCACAGCCCTGTGTGATCACCCCAGCCCAGTCCGTCATAAACCAAATTATTGATATTTCTTGAAGTGACACACGACCCGAGGAAGGCTACACTTTTTCCCGATTTTCGACACACCAAGCTGAAAAGGTTAGCCATCACTGATCTATACCATCTACCTATCATTTATGTATCTATCTCTGTGTATCATCTCTCTTTCCTTATCTATCCTGCCTGCCTGCCTGCTGCTCCCCCCGTCTCTCTCCTCCCCTCCCTCCCTCTCTCCTTTTTTCTTCTCATTTTAGATTCCACCCCAACCTCTCTTTCTTTTTCTGTGCTCTGATCCCAAATAAACCGTGGAAAATGACCCAGAAACAGATCCACCCTTTCTAGTGGAACAGATTTAAAAGCGGGCCCTCTTTGGCCACTAGAGGTCGCCCTGTGGCCTGCTGTGCCTGACCACAGCCTTGTGATTTCGGGTTTTCGGCAAAACTCACTTAACAACCGTCTCAATAACACACCTTTTGGGCTCCATTGTGGTCGTAAGTCGAGGACTACCTGTATTGCACGAGGGCGGAGGGAGAAGGGGAGGAAATCGGCCGTCACCTACCTTCACGTTGTCCAGGACTACCAGGGGTCCGTTCACCCCACACACAGTCCGGTACGCTGCGGAGAAAGGCAAGAGAATACAAAATAACAGAGTCAGAAGGGACCTTAGAGCTCTTCTAGTCCAACCCACGGCTAGAGAAAACCGGAGGGAATTATGGATCGGCAGAGACAAAATTGTGATGGAAAACAACAACCAGTTCTCAGTTGGAAAAAAAAATAATCTGCATATTGAGTTATTTACGGGCTTCCTGTGTTTAAGTAATTGAGCTTTAAAATGGACACCTAGCATCAAAAGCGTCATCACAAAAGCACAACCAAGAATGTTCTTTTGGCACCAACACAGGAAGCTCAAACTGCCCAAGGAGCTGCTGATCCAGTTCTGCAGAGGAATGACAGAGTCTGTCATCCGCACCTCTATAACTGTCTGGGTTTGGTTCTGCAACCCAACAGGACAGACACAGACTCCAGAGAGTAATTAGGACTGCAGAAGAAACAATTGCTACCAACCTGCCTTCCATGGAGGACCTGTATCCTGCACGAGTCAAAAAGAGGGCTGTGGAAATATCTACAGATCCCTCGCATCCCGGACATAAACCGTTTCAACTCCTTCCCTCAAAACGACGCTATAGGGCACTGCACACCAGAACAACTAGACACAAGGGCAGTTTTTTTCTCAAACGCCATCACTCTGCTAAACAACTAATTCCCTCAACACTTTACAAAGTCTGCATTACTATTACTATTAATCTTCTCATCACTCCTTATCACCCATCCCCTCCCACTTGTGACTGTATGACCGTAACTTTGTCACTTGTATCCTTACGATTTATATCGACTGTTTCCTAGTATGATTTGATTGCTTATTGTACCCTATGACTATTATTGTTGTACCTGATGATTCTTGACTCTGGACAAATGTATCTTTTCTTTTATGGACACTGAGAGCATTTGCACCAAGACAAATTCCTTGTGTGTCCAACCATACTTGGTCAATAAAGAATTCTATTCTATTCTGTTCTGTTCTATTTGGGGGATCTTCTTCTACCTCAGTGCTTAAAACAAGAAAATTGGGGAAAATATTGGGCTTTTTAAAAAAAGCCATCGATAGAAGGCGGCCAATTGTTTTCCTCCTGTCTTTTTTCCATCTTTCCTTCATTCTTCCCTTCTCTAATCTCTTTCGGCAAAGCTTTTCGCTAGCCTGGGAAAGCCACCAGGATGGAAAGAGGCCAGAATGCTACAAACTTGTTTTGTGAAAGGAACAACAAGCTTCACACTAGACTAGCCATCTGTGCAATTTGGAGACTGCAGTGAGGTCAACAGATTGTGTCATGTCTTCTATTTTATTGATTGATTGACTAACTGACTAACTGATTGATTAGCCCTTAGACCACGTCAAAGTGCAGAGTTGAGAAACAAATTATTACTAAAATCTGATAAAAGCAATTTAAAATGGAATTGGATAAAATACAATTTAAAATGAAGGTGAAATAAAATACAATTTAAAATGAAATGGGAATAGAATAGAATAGAATAGAATAGAATAGAATAGAATAGAATAGAATTCTTTATTGGCCAAGTGTGATTGGACACACAAGGAATTTATCTTGGTGCAAATGCTGTCAGTGTACATAAAAAGAAAAGATACATTCATCAAGAGTCAAGAATCATCAGGCACAACACTTAATGATAGTCATAGGGTACAATAAGCAATCAAATCATACTAGGAAACAGTCTGTATAAATCATAAGGATACAAGTGACAAAGTTACAGTCATACAGTCACAAGTGGGAGGGGTTGCACGGTGACAAGGAGTGATGAGAAAATTAATAGTAATAGTAGTGCAGACTTTGTATATATCTGGACAGTGTTGAGGGAATTATTAGTTTAGCAGAATGATGGCATTGGGGAAAAAACTGTACTTGTGTCTAGTTGTTCTGGTGTGCAGTGCTCTATAGTGCCATTTTGAGGGTAGGAGTTGAAACAGTTTATGTCTAGGATGTGAGGGGTCTGTAGATATTTTCACAGCCCTCCTGTTGACTTGTGCAGTATACAGTTTTAAATACAGTCTAAAGTGAAATTGGAATAAAATACAATAATTTGAGATAGAGATAAAAATGTGATAAAAATTTTATTTCGGCGACAGCCCTGCAATCTACCCCAATCAGACCCACGTATGCTGATCTCAACGGAACCATTTTGCTCAAGTACTGTGCTGGGTTAAATGTTATTTTCAGATTCTGGCTGCACATAAGGTAAGTGATTTTGCTATGGGGATCCCAATGGGTCATTCGTTAGGTCTATAGACGGAGGTACCTGACTCTCACCCTCTTATACAGGCAACCATCAAACAGGATGTAAGCCAGGTCTTCTACCTCTGTCACTCCACAAATGCACTGTAGCATATAGAATGGAATCTCCTATATCTGGCCATTGGGTCAAGCTGTTCGAATCTCGCTCGCATAAATATCTCCCTAGGAAGTTTTGGCAGTTGTAACTTCAAAGAGATGTCTATTTGAAAAGTACGTTTGTATTTTTTTTTAGAATTAGAATAACAGAGTTGGAAGGGACCTTGGAGGTCTTCTAGTCCAATCCCCTGCCTCGGCAGGAAACCCTACACCACTTCAGACAAATGGTTATTCAACCTCTTCTTAAAAACTTCCAGTGTTGGAGCATTCACAACTTCTGGAAGCAAGTTGTTCCACTGATCAATTGTTCTATTGTCAGGAAATTTCTCCTTCGTTCTAAGTTGCTTCTCTCCTTGATTAGTTTCCAACCATTGTTTCTTGTCCTGCCTTCTGGTGCTTTGGAGAATAGCTTGACTCCCTCTTCTTTGGGGCAGCCCCTGAGATATTGGAAGACTGCTATCATGTCCCCCCTATAGTCCTTCTTTTCATTAGACTAGCCCAAATCCTGCAACCGTTCTTCATATGTTTTAGGCTTCAGTCCCCTAATCATTTTGGTTCCTCTTCTCTGCACTCTTTCTAGAATCTCCACATCTTTTTTATATTGTGGCGATGACCAACACTGAATGCAGAGTTCCAAGTGTGGCTTTATCAAGGTCTTAGAAAGTGGTACTAACACTTTACGTGAACTGTTGATGCAGCCTAGAACTGTGTTGGCTTTTTTGGCAAGCTGCTGCACACTGCTCAGCTCACGTCTTCTATTTGCGTTCTTCTTGGGATCCAGTTTTGGTCACCATATTATAAAAAAGATGTTGAGACTCTAGAAAAAGTACAGAGAAGAGCAACCAGGATGATTAGGGGGCTGGAGACTAAAACATATGAAGAACGGTTGCTGGAACTGGGCCTGGCTAGTCTAGGGAAGAGAAGGACCAGGGGAAACAGGAGAGCATCTTTCAATATTTGAGGGGCTGCCACAGAGAGGAGGAAGGGGTCAGGATATTTTCTAAAGCGCCTGAAGGCCAGACAAGGAATAATGGGTGGAAACTGAACAAGGAGAGATTCAACCTGGAAATAAGGAGAAACTTTCTGACAGTGAGAACAATCAACCAGTGGAAGAGAAGTGGCCTTCGGAAGCTGTGGGAGCTTCATCACTTGAGACTTTCAAGAAGAGACCGGACTGCTATTTGTCAGAAATGGTGTAGGGTCTCCTGCTTGGGCAGAGGGTTGGACTAGATGACCTACAAGGTCCCTTCCAACTCTGATTATCTGTTATCTGTTATCTTCCACCACCATCTCAGAAGGTTTTGCTTCCTGTTCTTTGCAACCAGCTGTTGAGCTGGCTTCCCTTCTGCTGAAATAGACAATCTTCCATGGTTTCCACCAGGTTTAACCTTCCGGTTTTCTTCGGCTTAGCGAGTATCCCCATCCGAAGGTCGTAGGGCGAACGCTCCATAGGTAGCCTTCTGCGGCTTCCCCCAAGAGGCCTTCCTTCACGGGCCACCTCCTCCCCTCCCCTCCCTCCAGCCTGGTTCCCATCAACTCCATGAGGCCTGACATCCACAGCCACCATTTCTGTAAAGGTTGTGACCTGCCCAGTAAGCTCCACCAAGCTTGGCCTCCTCAGCAGACACATCTGTGCTGTGGGGGCCTCTCTAGAGGGCAGAGGGCAGGAAGACCAGGCCTCCTCTGCTGTCCTAAATACTTAGCGTCTGGTTTGTGTTTCTGCAGCGCCTGGAAGAGCGGTTTCTCTCGATGTCCCTCTTGCAAAAATAAAATAAAATAAAGCAGCCATGTTCTAACACCAGGGCAATCCTCTTTGGGAGAGCCACCAGAGACCCGCCAAGTTTCTTCTCCAGGTCTAACCCAACTGGTCACCTGTGGCTTTCCTTCTCAGGCCATCGCTCGCTCACTCCCTTGCTTCCTCCATTGGCCAAAGGGACTCAAGTATAATTAAGGCTCGGATTAGCATTCCTGCTCCCCCCCCCCAAATGCCCAGGTGGGCACACAGCTGCGCTGGGAATTTTGGAGACATCATTCGCCTTGACAGCCAAGTGAGACTGGGTGAAAGGTTGCCTTCGCACCGTTGCAAAAGGTCCTGGCTGGGGTTTTGCTGGACCCTCGGTGGAGAAGAAGCCCAGCCATGGTGGAAAGTAGGTAGAGGGCCTTGGACCATCCTAAAGAGCTCCAGGGGCCAAAGCCCAAAGCCTTGAGAGTAGATAGAGGGGTGCAAAGCCCTAGGAATCGGTGGCCAGCCAGATCCAAAGATGCAAATTCACCTGGAAGATATTTCCCTTCCTTCCTTTCCTTCCTTCCTGGTAATAGGTAGGTAGGTCCATAGATGTGGATGGACAGATAGATAGACATATGTGATAATGATGGATGGATGGATGGATGGATGGATAGATAGAAAGATGAGATTCACTAAGATAGATAGGATAGATAGATATGTAGATAGATAGATAGATAGATAGATAGATAGATAGATAGATAGATAGATAGATAGATAGATAGATATGGATGGGCTGATAGATAGATGATAGTGATAGATAATGATGGATTGGTGGATAGAAAAATGAAACAGATTCACTTAAATAGATAGATAGATGATAGATAGATAGATAGATAGATAGATAGATAGATAGATAGATAGATAGA